AAATCAATCCACACATCTATAAGCAACTAATCTTTGATAATGGGGCTATAATCAATCCCTGGAGTAAGGTCACTGCCTTCAAAAAATGGTGCTGGGAAAATTGGATTTCCATGTGCAGAAGCATGAAACCAAACCCCTACCTTATACCTCATACAAAAATCAATTCAAAGTTGATCAAGGATCTAAATTTACAAGCTGACATCAAATTACTAGAGAACACTGGTGAGACTCTGCAAGACATTGGCTTAGGCAACGACTTCTTGAAAATATCCCAGAAGCACAAGCAATCAAAGCAGAAAGAGACAAATGGGATTACATCAAGCTGAGAAGCTTCTGCACTGCAAAGGAAACATTCAGCAAAGTGAAGAGACAATCGACAAACAATGCAACTGAAAAAGGATTAATATCCAGAATCTATAAAAGCTCAAGGAACTCAAAAACAACAAAACAAACAATCCAGTTACAAATGGACAAAGGACTTAAACAAGCCTTTTTCAAAAGAAGAAACTCAAATGGTCACCAGACACATGGAAAAACACTCAGGATCACTAACCATCAGGCAAACACAAATCAAAACCACAATGATGTTTCACCTCACCCCAGTTGGAATGGCTCTCTTAAAGACATCAACAATCAGTAAATGCTGATGAGGAAGTGGGGAAAAAGGTAACTTAATCCACTATTGGTGACAATGTAAACTAGTACAGCCATGGTGAAATACAGTATGGTGATTCCTCAGAAAGCTGAAAATAGATATACCATAGGATCCAGCAATCCTACTCCTGAGAGTTTATCCAAGGGAAATGAAATCAGCATATAAAAGAGTTATCTGAGGGGCCAGCATTGTAGTGCAGAGGGTTAAAGCTCAAGCCTGCAGCACCAGCATCCCATATGGGCGCCGGTTCAGGTCCCAGCTGCTCCACTTTTTATCCAGCTCTCTGCTATGGCCTGGGAAAGCAGTAGAAGATGGCCCAAGAACTTTGGCCCCTGCACTCGTGTGGGAGACTTGCAAGAAGCTCCTTGGTCCTGGCTTCAGATTTGCTCAACTCTGGCTGTTGCAGCCATTTATGGAGTAAACCAGTGGATGGAAGACCTTTCTGTGTGTGTGTGTGTGTGTGTCTACCTCTTTCTGTAACTCTTTGAAATAAATAAAATAAATCTTTAAAAAGGGAGTTATCTGTGTTTCTTGCAGCTCAAATCACAATATTGAAGATATGGAATCAACCCAGATGTCCATCATCTAATGTCTGATTAAAGAAATTCTGGACTATAACTAGTACTCAAACAGTACTTTACACTTTGTGTTTCTGTGTGGGTGCAAACTGTTGAAAACTTTACTTAATATATACTACATTGAACTTCTGTATATAAAGATAATTGAAATTAATCTTGATGTGAATGGAATAGGAGAGGGAGCGGGAGATGGGAGGGTTGCAGGTAGGAAGGAAGTTATGGGGGGGCGGGGGAAGCCACTGTAATCCAAAAGCTGTACTTTGGACATTTATATTTATTAAATAAAAGTTAAAAAAAAAGAAATTCTGGAATAATATACATTATTATGTATTATATGTTATTATATATTATATATATATATATTATGTATGTAATTCCAGAATTTCTTTATCCAGGCATATACACACACATACACACACACACACACACACACCTGGATATATATATATATATATATAGAGAGAGAGAGAGAGATAGTATGGAATACTACTCCCTCATAAAAAAGAGTGAAATTCTGTCTTTTAGAACAAAATGTATGCAACTGGAAACCATCATACTTACTGAAATAAGCCAGTCCCAAAAAGACTAACACCACATGTTTTCCCTGATCAGTGGTAACTAACAGAGTACCATAAAACTGAAATGTATGGAGTGAAATTGGTATTTTGAGATTCAGTGATTGTTTACAGCCCTTGGTAGACAACTGAAGAACAGTTTTTTTCTTCTTACTATTTGTTGAACACTTTACATTGTGTAGGGTTAATCTTATGAGTATAAAGTAAACTAAAAACACATCATTGTAAAAATTAAGAGGAAATAATAGAGGAAGGAGGATGAAGTGTGGGAGCATACGCAGGACAGAGGTAGGGTGGGAAGTATCACTATGCTCTTAAATTTACATATATGAAACATGAAACATGTTCACCTTAAAATTTTGTTTAATTAAAAAGTCTGCAAGTTTGAAATAGAAAAATGCAATAGTATTTATTAACAGTTATTTGAATCTATCAACAGTAATTTTTTTCTTTTTTTTTAAAGACAGAGTTACAGAGAGAGGTAGAGACAGAGAGAGAGGTAGGTCTTCCATCTGCTGGTTCACTCTCCAGATGGCTGCAATGGCTTGAGCTGCGCCGATCAGAAGCCAGGAGCTTCTTCCAGGTCTCCCACACGGGTGCAGGGGCCCAGGGACTTGGGCCATCTTGTACTGCTATCCCAGGCCATAGCAGAGAGCTAGATCAGAAGAGGTGCAGCTGGGACTAGAACCGGCACCCATATGGGATGCCAGTGCTTCAGGCCAGGGGTTAACCTGCTGCACCACAGCGCCGGCTTCTATCAATAGTAATTAATAGGATATGCTGAGTGGGTTTGTACAGTCTGAAAACCTAAATATCAGTTAAAACAGATGTGCCCATCATTGTGAATAACTTAGTGCCTATATAGACAGGGGCATGATCAAGGGAACTTCTCACAAAGTTCACTTACACTAAAATCTCACATTCCATGTCTATGTATAGTTGCTTGAAAAGTGATGATTTAGTGAATATTGGGTATTGTGTGGAAGATATATTTAAAAGCCATATACATGGTACGGCATTGAAGCTTAGAAGGTAAATTCACTGTCTGACATCAGCATCCCATAAGGGTGCCAGTTCATTCCCCAGCTTCTGATCTAGCTACATGCTAATGGCCTGGGAAAAGCAGCAGCAGATAGTCCAAGTGTTTGGGCCTCTGCCATCCATGTGGAAGACCTGGAAGAAGCTCCTGGCTCCTGGCTTCTGCCTGGTCCAGCCTTAGTCATTGTAGCCATACATCCAGGGAGTGAACTAGCAGAAGGAAGATCTCCCTCCTTCTTTCTTTTTCTTTCTCTCTCTCACTGACTTTCAAATAAATAAATAACATTTTTAAATGAAGACATTTTAAATGAAGACTAAGGGAATGCAACACTGAGTCCTCTTTCCCAGGTCTCACCACTTCATGCCCTGCAATCAGGGTGCATTTGTCTGCAATTAGACACCGCAAGAATTGCAATCATTGCTCTCAAAACCCCTAAAATTAACTTAAGAAGTGGTGACTATATTTACCATAAGACATGTGCATCAAATCCATTTTTCTATACTTTGAGCTGAAATAAAGGAAATTCAGTTGAAACACAGTAAATGAAAGGGGGTCGGCGCCCTGGCATAGCAGGTAGAGCCGCTGTCTGCAGTGCCAGCATCTCATACGGGCACCAGTTCAAGTCATGGCTGCTCTAATTCAGATCCAGCTCTCTGGTATGGCTTGGGAAAGCAGAAGTTGATCCAATTCCTGGGCCCATGATACTGTGTGGGAGAAGCCTAAGAAGCTTCTGGCTCGTGGCTTCAGATCGCTGTGGTTCCTGCTATTGCAGCCATCTGGGGAGTGAACCAGTGGATGGAAGACCCCCCCACCCCACCTCTGCCTCTAACTCTGCCTTGCAAATAAATAAATGTTAAAAAAATAGTAAATGAAGGAGCAAAAAGAGGACAAATAAAATATAACGGAGGATTCAGCGCTGTGGTGCACAGGGTGAAGGTCCCAGCCTGCAGCGCTGGCATCCCAAGTGGGTGTTGGTTTGAGCCCCCGATGCTCCACTTCCAATCCAGCTCCTTCCTGGTACACCTTGGAAGGCAGCAAAGGATGCTCAAGTTCTTGGTTCCCTGCACCCACGGGGGAGATCCGGAGGAAGCTCCTGGCTTTGGATCCACTCAGCTCCGGCCATTGCAGGCATTTGGGGAGTGAATCAGAGGATGGAAGACCTCTCTCTTTCCCTCTTTCTCTCTTTGTGTCTCTATCTCTTTCTGTAGCTCTTTCAAATAAATAAAATAAACCTTTAAAAATATAAAGAAATATTCTTTTATGAACACCCTTTTAATTAGAGTGTTTTTATATTATAAATACAACTTTATGTAAATACAGATTGTGATTTCTGAGCTTTTTCAAAAAAAATAAACAAATAAAACTATTAATCCTGCCTAAATTGAAGGTGTCTTATTTACATATGCAAGTAATTACATGTACTTTAAATCCTCTGAGTCATAACAACATAAAATTCAAACACTGGCATTCAACATAAACCCAAACTGCCTTAATTCAAGCCTACTTTTACTTGAAACTACAAAACCTCCACTTTTAGTTTATGATAGCAACCTATTTCAAAGAGTTCAGTGACAATTGATGTTGGAAACTGCCTTGAAGGCAGAAATTACTATAATTATCTTGAATATACATATCATTAAACTAAAATGGATGTCAATAAACCAGTACAAAAATATCTGGACTATTCAGAGCAAAATATTATAAAACAATTCACTCTTTCAACAAATGTAATTTGGACTATAATTTTCTCATTTTGGATGGGGACAATAACTCAAATATTTCCCTCTATCCCTCCTTCAAGACAGGTAGATGTTTTTCACACACACAAACACATACACACACATACATATTTGCGATTTATTAAATCATAATAAGTATTTAAATTCTTAAGGAAAATGTGATCAGGGTAGCTAAACAAAAGAAATATTTGGTAAGATTTGAATTGAAATAAACATGATGTGGTATTTCAAGATGTTTTTAGTATGATTAAATTCCAACTATTTCAAAGGTGTTTCTGGAGGTCATTCTTAAAAACATTCAGAATCTTTTGGCCCTTCCCATGGAGGTAATGCAGTACCAGACAGAATATAATGATCAGTGATTCCCTTGGTTTGCAGTTTTCATGTAATGTGCCCTGTGTTTCCTGACTTTACCTCGTCAGAGAGTACTGCTTCCCCAAGGCCGCCCCAGGGTCCTGTTGACGGATGGCTCTAATTGCGGTTGGCGCTGTAAACAAGGCAGCCACTCCATGCTCTGCAAGCACACGGAAATAAGCACCAGCATCTGGTGTTCCCACAGGCTTCCCCTACAATGAGATTCATTTGAAATGTCACTGGGTAAAAATGCCTCATATTTCATTGACAGTTCAATACTTAAACATTTAACACAGTGATATTAATATAATCAGGTTCTCAACAAATCTTCCCTTAAAAATATTCCTTAAAAATTATTTCCTAAATAAAATTATTTCTAAAATTATTTCCTAAAATATTTTCTAAAAATATTTCCTATCATAAATAAACAAGTGTCCAAGCAGAAGAGAGGCTGTTTGCTCCATTTCAACATCCTAAAAGCTTGCAAACAGCAGCTTTTTCAGGCTTTGAAAGATAAAAGATTGGAAATATATATCACATTCAAATTAAAAGCATAAAACAGTCTCCTATTTGGCAATAGATCAAATATATTGTTTAGAGAAGCAGACTAAATGAGACACATGGTTGTTATCCTAACATTAACACACATTTGTCACTATTAAAAGTGGCAACAGTAATTCTCAAAACATTTGAGACGAGAGAAACATCAGATATCACTAGTGATTTCTGAGCAGTGACCTTTACAGTTAACTGTCTCACTCCAAGGGACTGCTCTGAATCAAAAACAATCCAGTGAGGTATTCCCAAATGCTGTACACGTTTTGCATGACATCATATACTTATCCAGTGGCAAAGACACAAATAAGTATCTAATAATTCTGGTGAACTAAGAAACTCAAAATAATATACAACATTGTTAATTGATATTTATGCAAAGTTGGAAATGAGTAAGACAATGAAACAAATCAAAAACTGCAGCAATTATAAGTGACCATAAGATCAATACCAGTGCAGCCATATCCCAAGAATTCTTCAATCCATTCACACCACTAACAAATCCTACTGTGTTTTTAAAGAAAGGTACCTAGAATGTTACTATATGGAAGCTGCTTCAGTTGAGGTTGGGATAAACAAAGAAAAATTACTGTATCTTAAATAATTTCTTTAAGACTTAAAAGTGTTAATGCACCTCCATTTTAGGCAATTGTATCTGTCCACAAATTTATACATTTCTTCTGGATTTTCCAATTTATTAGCATATAAATTGTACACATGCACATCCTCATTGTAGAGCTACAGTGTCCCTCTCATTTGCATGGAGTTTCCCGTGCATTTTTCTCCCTAACTCTTCCCTGAAATTGCACTCTCCACTTTTAAACTACCTTCCCTTAGACTAGAGCAGTAAGTTCCCTCCCCATTCTGCCATAGTGGAATCTCTCTTGCTGTTTGTAATAATTCTTATCTATTCTTTTCATACTGTGGCATCAGTTATAACACCTCTATTTTCATTTCTGATTTTATTAACTTGAGTCTTCTCCCCTCCCCCAACTTTTGCTTTTGATTACTTGGGCCAATGATTTATCAATCTTATTTATTTTTTCAAAAAAAAAAAAACAGCTCTTCATTTCACTGACCTTTTGTATTTTTTTAAAAAACCTAAATAGAACAATAACCAACACAGAGATTGAATCAGTAATAAAGATCTTCCCAACAAAGAAAAGCCCAGGACCATATGGCTTCAATAAATTCTACCAAACTTTTAAAGAAAAACCAACCCCAATTCTTCTTAAACTATTTAAAACAATTTAAAAGGAAGGAATCTTCCCAATATCCTTTTATGCAGCCAGCATCACATTAATTCCGAAATGAGAAAAAGATACAACAAAGAAAGAGAATTATAGAGCAATATCCTTGACAAGCATACATGCAAAAATCCTCAATAAAATACTAGCTAACCAAATCCAACAACAAATCAAAAAGATCCTCCACCCCAAACAACTGGGACTGCAGGGATGCAGAGATGGCTCAACATATGGAAATCAATAAATATGATATATCACATTAATGAACTAAATAATAAAAATGTGATTATCTCAATAGATGCAAAGAAAGCATTTCATAAATGCAACATCTCTTCTTGATAAAATCCTTAATCAAATTGAGTACAGAAGGAACATACCTCAACACAATCATGGCAATATATATAACAAACCCACAGCCAGCCTCATGTTGAATGTGGAAAGCTGGAAGCATTCCACCAAAACTCAGAATGAGACAAGGATTCCAATTCTCACCAATACTATTCAACACAGTTCTGAAAGTTTTAGCCAGAGCTATTAGGCAAGAAAAAAAAATCAAAGGTACACAAATTGGAAAAGAGAACGTCAAATTATCCCTGTTTGCAGATGACATGATTCTATATAAAAGGGCAACAAAAAACTCCATTAAGAGAAATTGGAACTCATAAGAGTGTTTGCTAAAGTTGCAGGATATAAAATAAACACACAAAAATCAATAGCTTTGTATATACAGAAAATGCCATATCTGAGAAAAAACTTATAAGATCAGTCACATTCACAGAATTTACAAAACCTTACATTCCTTGGGATAAATTTAACCAAGGATGTGAAAAATCTCCACAATGATATTCCTAAAACATTACAAAAGAAATAGAATACACACACAAAAAAATCTTCCATGTTTGTGGATTAGAAGAATTAATATCATCAAAATGTCCATACTACCAAAATCAATTTACAAATTCAATGTGATCTCAAAGTACCAAGGACATTCTTCTCAGATCGAGAAAAAATATTCCTAAAATCCATATGGAAACTCTAGAGATCTAGAATAGCTAAAGAATCTTAAACAATAAAAATTGCCAGAAGCATCATAATGCCAGATTTCAGTACATATTACAGAGCAGTTATAATCAAAACAGCCTAGTACTGGCACAAAAATACACATGTGGGCCCTGGGACACAACAGAAACCCAGCATTTAATCCACTATACAACCAACTAATCTCTGACGAACAAGCTAAAAGTACTCTCTGAAGAAAGGACAGTCTCTTCAACAAACAGGGCTGGAAAATCGGACCTAGCTATGCAGAAGTATGAAACAAGACCCCTTACACATTAAACTAAAATAAACTCAAAATGGATCAAGTATCTAAATCAAGGACGTGATACTATCAAATTATTAGAGGAGAACATTGGAGAAACTCTTCAAGACATTGGCATAGGCAAAGACTTACTGGAAAGGACCCCAGAAGCAGAGCTATCAAAGTCAAAATTGACAAATCAAATTACATAAAGCTAAGAAGCATCTCCTCAGCAAAGGAAACACTCAACAAAGTAAAGAGCCAACCAACAGAATGGAACAAAATAGCTGAAAACTATGCAACTGATAAAGGATTAAAATCCAGGATCTATAAGGCGTTAAACTCAGTAACAACAACTCACGAAATTCAGTTAAGAAACAGGCAAGGTACATGAACAGCCATTTTTCAAAGGATGAAATACAAATGGCCAACATAACATGACAAAATGCTCAGGATCACTAGCCATCAAAAAACTCCAAATACCACAATGAGTTTTCACTTCACCACAGTTATAATAAATAAAATATATAAATAACAAATCTATCCAGGATGTAGAGAAAAAAGTACCCTAAAACACTACTGGTAAGAATGCAAACTAGTACAACCATTCTGGAAGACGGTATGGAGATTCCTCAGAAATCTGAAAACAGATCTACCATATGACCCAGCCATCCCAATCCTGAGAATTTACCCAAAGGAACTGGTATCAGTATATAAAAGAGTTATCTGTGTCCCCATGTTTATTGCAGCCTAATTCACAATAGTTAAGATATGGAATCAATCCAGATGTCAGTCAGTTGATGACTGAATAAAGAAAATGTGGTGTGTGTGTGTGTGTGTGTGTGTATATGCACACACACATACAGGATGGAATACTACTCATCCATATAAAATGAAATCCTGTCTTTTGCAACAGAAAGGAGGCAACTGGGCACATTATGCTTCATGAAATAAGCCAGATCCAAAAAGACAAATATGTTTTCTCTGATTTGTGATATCTAATAGAGTACAAAAAAGCCTGAATTATAGGGTTGAAATCGATGCCTTATGATTTGATTATTATTTACAGCCCTTGACTATAAGGGGGAGAAGGAGGAGAGGGAGGCAGAGATGGGAAGGGAGAGAGAATGGGAATGAATATGATCTTGCATCCATTGGTTCACTCCCCAAATAGCTGCAACATCCAGGTCTGGGCCAGCCAGAAGCCAGGAGCCAAGAACTCTATCCTTGTCTCCCACATGGGTGACAGGGGTGCCCAAGCACTTCAGTCATCTTCCACTGCTTTCCATTACCAGGGAGCTGGATTGACAGCACAGCAGTTGGTATACAAACTGGCACTGCGATATGGCAAATTAGTTTGTAAGAGGTAGCTCAACCCACTGTACCACAATTCCATGCCCAACTCATAAATATTTAATGTTATATATTTCTAATATATAGTCCAAAGCACTGAAACCAAGGCTGTCATAGCAGTTATCAAAGTACCTTTAAACTTACTTCAGTGTATAATTTTCTACCACTTATGATTCAATGTATTAATATTAATGGACTACAGATGAAAAGTTCCATGAGAAAATTTGGTAATGTCTCAATTTTTCTCCCGTGTTTACTAATGTTTTTAATACAAGAAAGAAGTGAAATAAAGCACGTAGCACAAGGAAAAAAAAAAAACTTGAGTTAAATCCTTGAGCAAAAATTCCTTTCGTTTTAACATTAATCCTGTGATTCAGTTTATCCAAGGCTTGAGGTCAATGCCACTTGTGGTTTTTACAGATTTTGACTTAAGAATTTTTGAGTCAATGGCAGTTTTTGCTGCTTCTTGTGTAGCAGGATTAGAGTACATTTAGTCTCCTTCTGAGCACAACTTTTGAGAACGTTGCCCAAGGCATATTTCTAACTCTAGTTCTAAAGTGAAGATAGCAGCATCGTTTTAGCAAAGGTGCTGAATTTCATTTCAGTAGACAGGTGCTGCCAAGTGTCTGCTTGTTTATTTCGGGATAGTCATGAAATTAACAATAGCATTTGTTGAGTTCCTGCTATATACATCATGTGCCCTTAACAAAGGATGAGTGTTTGGGCCCACAGCATTTAAATGTAACACTTGTTAAAA